TGTTCCTGACCTTAGCGGAAAAGCTCTCAGTTTTTCTCCATTGAGGATGCTATTTGCAGTGGGTTTTTCATAGATGGCTTTGATAATATTGAGGTATGTGCCCTCTATCCCTACACTTTGAAAAGTTTTGATCAGGAAGGGATGCTCACTGTACTGATTTTTACACTTCCTTTTTACAAAGTTACTATGAGTGATATATCCATTTCTCTACTTCATCTGAAAAGTCAAATCTTATCTACTTCTTGGAATTTTTATAAAAATATATAGCAAATGACACTACAGACAAAGGTCTGATATCCAAGATCTATAAATAACTCAAATTCAACACTCAAAAAAACAGATAATCACATCGAAAAATGGGCAAAAGACATGAGTAGACACTTCTCCAAAGAAGAAATACAAATGGCTAATAGACACATGAAAAAAATGTTCATCATTAACCATCAGAGAGATTCAAATCCAAACCACATTGAGATAGCACCTTACGCCAGTTAGAATAGCCAAAATTAACAAGACAGTAAACAAGTGTTGGAGATGATGTGGAGAAAGGAGAACCCTCTTACACTGTTGGTGGGAATGCAAGTTGGTGCAGTCACTTTGGAAAACAAGTGTGGAGATTCTTTAAGAAATTAAAAATAGAACTACCCTATTACCCTGCAATTGCACTACTGGGTATTTACCCCAAAGATACAGATGTAGTGAAAAGAAGGGCCTCTGTACCACAATGTTCATAGCGGCAATGGCCACAGTCGCCAAATTGTGGAAAGAGCCAAGAGGCCCTTCAACAGATGAAAGGTTAAAGAAGATATGGTTCACGTATACAGTGGAATATTATGTCTCCATCAGAAAGGATGAATACCCAACTTTTGTTCCAAAATGGACGAGACCGGAGGAGATTATGCTGAGTGAAATAAATCAAGCAGAGAGAGTCAAATATCATATGGTTTCACTTACTTGTGGAGCATAAGGAATAACATGGAGGACATTGGGAGAAGGAGAGGAGAAGAGAGTTGGCAGAAATCAGAGGGGGAGATGAACTACGAGAGACTGTGGACTCTGAGAAACAAACCGAGGGTTTTGGAGGGGAGGGGGATAGGGGTTGGGTGAGCCTGGTGGTGGGTATTAAGGAGGGCACGTATTGCATGGAGCACTAGGTGTGATGCATAAACAATGAATCTTGGAACACGGAAATAATAAGATGAAGTTTAAAAAAAATATATATATAGCTAAGTATTCAATTTATCATTGAAAATAATAGTCAATAATATGAAATAACACTATATAATGTAATAAATAATATAAAGAATAAGTAATAGTATCAGTAAATTGTGTTTCTTATATGGTTATTCATTGAAATCATCAATGCTAATATTTTATTAACATAGAAACCAAAAATGATTTATATCAATCAAATTAAAGAAAAATCTATTATTTGGGTTAATTTGTAAGTATAAGTGTAAAAGAAAAAAGTAGAATACAATAAAACATAAGACCAGAGCAATTGGTCTTAAATAAATAGGATAGAAAGAACTCTAGTTGCTTAACATGAGCATTCCTGAGGAGGAATCTTCAACAGCCATGATCTCCATTAAGCCAAATCTCACTTTGTTTTGATCTTTTTATCATCAATTGTTTGAGCATCTGGCATTTTCATTGACCCACATTTGCCATTTTTTTTTTGGAAGAAAAGGCCAAAGGTATTCCTTTGTTTCCGTTTATCTTTTTCATCAAGAAAAAAGAAATATGGAAAGACATATTTCCTGGGAAAAAAACGCATTGTGCATCAGGAAGATGACACACATTGAGGTCAGTTATGATCTTGGGCTTCTCACTGATATTTTCCGAGCCACAGCTTCTTGACCATTAGTCCTGTTTATTTCACAGAAGGCCTGTCTCTTTATGGATAGAGTCAATGTGATATGTGATAACAAAACCCTGTCTAGTGCTATCGTGAGAATTGAGAGAGTTACTGTATGGAAATATGCAGTATAAATTGTTTACAATTAGACCCAATTTTGAAATACAGTTGATATTTTATTAGTGAATAGAAAAAGAAATGCTTGTCCACTGGTACCTCAATGCTACAAAATATTAAAAACACAACTCAAAATCTAGGTTATTAGCAGATAAATCTTTTCAAAATATGATTATCCTTAAAGTGTAAGTTTTATAAATAAAAAGTCACATCAGGCATTAGCTTTGACCTAAAAAAATGGAATAACTCAGTTACAGTAAGTTAATATGATATAGGAATAATATAATAATAATAATATAGTAAATAAATATAAAAATAACCCATTACATATATGATAAAGTCCAAATTCCACTGTTAGGCATCTGGCTCTATCTACCATTATACTACCCACTTCTCCCTAACTTTACCTTCTCATTTGTTTGGCAATTTAGATCCTAAGCTTCTTTTCAGCATGGTATTGTCTCTATGGAAGACCTGGTAATATAATTGCAAATGGATACAAGTATAGATCTATTTTGACTTTTATTTTTTCCTCACCCAGAGCCCTAAGATGAGTAGCTTCATTGCCATTTTTTCTTTATGAGTTGTCTTTTCCATCCCTCCTTTTCACTGGGAGGGTAATCCTCTGTGGGTCAGGGAAAACAATCCATTCTAACTCCCTATTTTGAGTTATGCCCAAAATCTATCTCCTAGGTAGAGACTTCTCTCAGATATTCCACTTTGCATCTTTTTGGCAAGCAAGATCATGCAATGTCCGGTCTATATTTTTGTGCCAAGAGAAGACCTTTCCATTAAATAAAAGAAGAAAAAAACCTTCTGCCATAAAATTTAAAATCATGTGTTTTGATCTTAAGGAGAGAATGATTAAAATTTTCTGCCATTGATATGTTCACTGAATGTTGCAGATATTTAGAAAGAGTCTATCAACACGTGAAAAAAATGCTCAACATCACTCGGCATCAGGAAAATACAAATCAAAACCACAATGAGATACCATCTCACACCAGTCAGAATGGCTAAGATTAATGTATCTTGCCATTAATATCCTTGCCAACATCTGTTGGCAGAGCTTGTTACCAGAGCTTGTTCACATATCTGTTTATCCCAATTAGACTGATTATTGTAATTATGCAATAAAAAGTAAATTTTATAAATTGATTAAATACGATGAGAAAAGAAAGAAAGGTATCCCTGTGAAAAAGAGCTGTTCTTTTCAGAAAGATTTGCTAAAGATGGCGTGCACATAACATTGTGCTACAAGCATGGATGATGGGATAACTCTAAACTTAGGGGAAAGTTAACATTAAAGCCTTAACAGATTTAGCTCTTAGATTGTTTTACAACTGTCTTGAAATCAATACACCTATTGAAAGAAATTCGACCTGGTGTTTATAGGTGAGGCAATTGAAGTGTAGTGAATAGAAGAAATAATATGTGAAATTCAAATTTGCAGACCATCTCAGGGGGAAAAAAAAAAAGCTTTGACCATAAGTCAAAAGATTAGCTTTTCATTTCACATAACAATTTTTGATACATATAAAATCATATTTTATGATTCTCCGCTATGATCAACATTCTCATTTGTCCTAATCACTACTGGATTGAATCAAATCAAGCAAGATGGATTTCACTGTACTATCTTAGGACAATATCCAGTATAAGCACTGAGTAATATGAAATGCATGTTTAGATTATTTTAATTTAACCTCAAAACCTACAGTTATAATTTCCTCTCATGTTGATTCTGTCACCACACTAAGATCTCCCTGGAACACTAGCATACAACATTACTAAAAAAGCAACACAGTGCCCCAAACAAATCTTTTCATTCCTATCATCCAAGGCCTACAGAAAGAAAAGAGTAGATTCCTAGCTTATCTTCTGTGCACAAAGCCAAAAAGCCTCCTTCCTAGCGAAAGGTTAATAAAACTTGTCCTAAGCAATTAATTGAATCTCTAGGGAAAAAACTAACTAACTAACTAAAACCAGAACTATATGGATAAGGAACAAAAAAAGGTTTTGCAACTTGAAAGAAAAATTTAGTAAACAAATCAATATTTCCTGGAAGAAGAAGGAAGATAATCTTACAAAACCTATCTTACTCATTTTTTATTTATTTCTCCTATTTTGTAGTGAAGATCCAGTTGGCTGAAAGGACAGGTTTTCAGCTTCCTCATTTTGACTTAACTTGTTTTTCTGGATTCCACCCTTGGGCTCTCCTTGGGGCCCAGCAATTTAGCCCAGTGAGACCATTTTGAAACAAACACCCATGTTTAGAACTCACCGTTGACACAACAACCTGAGTTATGTGGTGATTTCTAAAAGGATAAATAAATCCACCACTTTCCAGCTTTCACAGAAGCCACCTAACTTGAAGCAGGCTGCCATGACCAGCCAGTCTCAGGGGATCCACCAGCTCCTTCAGGCAGAAAAAAGAGCCAAGGACAAGCTAGAGGAAGCCAAGAAGAGTAAGTCTCCATTCTGTCTGACCTATGAGAAATTTGTTACAAAATGGATAAGGTGGGGGCAGTGAAATAATATTCACCTTTAGCAGCAGGCAGACTCTGGTTCAAACCCTGGCTCCACTATAATCCCTCAGAATCCTTTGGCCAATTCATTGAAACTACCCAGTCATATGTCCCTATGGCCATAGCGGGAACGAAATCCTCTAACTCAGAGCCTATGAAGAGGTCATGTGCTAAATGAAATGATAATGGACATTGAAATTACAGGAAGATATGACCTTAAGTCTTGTCTCTGCAACTTCCTTAATGTTGCCACGCCTCAGTTTCTCAATATTGTGAAATGATTAAGAGATAGACAACTTCCAGAATGAATCTACTTACTAGTGAGAGAACTTGAGCAAGTTACTTACCCTCTGTACACATCGGTTTCTGTTTCTGTAAAATTGTGACAACAGTTAATAGCTCTTTCTCATCCCTCTTAATAATATTTTCATTTTATTCTCATTTTCTAACATTCTTTTTACTTAGCCATACATCTATATATTAGCACAGAATGTTCTCAGTAAATGTTAACCCCCTTCCTACTCCCTTTGATATTCACAACTATGTGAATGAGATGTTACTATTATTTCCATTTTATGTATATAGAGACTAAAGCTCATTGTTTGCCAGAGTTCATATTTTAAAAATAGAAAACACACACAGGCACCACACTTAATCCTTATCTTATTTACTACTCCTTGCAAAAATTCTTACTGCAAAGACAAAAGGTGACACTTAGATAAATTATGCAGCTTGCCCAAGGTCACACAGAGGGTAAAGGTTATAGACAAGATATGGACAGAGTCTGATTTCTAAGCAAAGATCTTAACTGTACTACGCAATATTTACATAATTTTTATTATGAATAAACTAACATATTGTAGATTAACAACTCAAATTCAGGTTCCCTGGGGCAAGACCTATGATTTCATATCACATCATTACTTAATCTATAACAATTTGTGTCATTTACCCTCTCCCTAATTATATGTCTTGCATCAGCAATTCGATTAAAACTTCAACAAGACATGGGGCCATGTTTTTAAAATGTTGCTTATATGATTCTTTGGATGAATATAGTGACAGGAATAGAGTAGGTAGCGACAAAAGTTTGTTGAAATAGATCGAATGAGACTTGTGAACAGTACATTATAATGCAATAGAGGAAACCAGGAGAGAAGCAGCATTCAATCCATGGTCCATTTTTGACCACAGGTAAAATCATGTTTATTTCCTAAGTTGATTTCCTGAGTAGTCAGCAATGTAGACACCAACAACAGCAAAAGGAAGACTCCATGTGGAAGGAACTAGAAGAGAAAAAGAAGAAATTAAGACAAACTTTATCTACTTTTCCATTTCTTTATCTACAACATACCATGCAAATGACTGCAAAATGGTATGAATGTAATTTGATAGAAAACAAAGCAGTCTTGGACCTGCTAGTTAAAGCAGTATAGATAACGTCCTTATCTTTTATTCAAATTTCTTTAACCACATTTAAAACTTCCAGAACAGAAGTTCAACTTATTTTAAGATGTTTTAATTATGTTACCTTTGCTTCCTTATTATGGAAGTAACATAATTACATATTGGGCACATTAATCAATATTATCGTACAATCCAGATGGTTTTTACCAATAGTGTGCTTTTTCTCAAAGCTGTTAGAGAAGAAAGGATTTGTGAATTATGCAAGTTGTTTGGAAGAGAGGACCGTCAAAACTATCTAGACTCAGATTTATATTTCTGTGTATGTCATTTAACATCTCTGAGTTTCACTCTTCTTTTTTTAATAGAAATAGAAGATATATATGATATATATAAATATCAGATATAAAAAATATATAAAATATACATAAAAGCTATATGTTTATCAGATATAGATATAGATATATACGTGTATATATATATCAAACTTGTTTTCCTTTCCACTAGTGAATATGTTGTTCTTGGACAATTTTTCCTCAGAAGTCCATATTGGTCAGTGTTAGAAAATATGTATTGTCTTATTTTTATACAAAACATTCATTTTTTTGCCAGTAACTTAAAGCCCTTTTGTGCTTTGTCCCTTGGTCTTCAGTCATAAATATTCAAACAAATATTCAATGAGTCATAGTAAATACCCAGGCCTTAAAAACATTTTGGAAGATATTTTTACAAATGTTATTTCCACAACCAACCTCTACCCTCGGTTTTACAGAGAAGGTCGGTCTGTCCCCTTTGCCACAGAAAGCACAGGCTTTGAGAACAGTTTTTACCAGTTAGAAGCTATTTTCTTACACAGCTATCAGCAGGTAGCAGTTTGTGGCTACAACTTCAATTATCGTACGCATCATACTTACTTCTTAAGCATTCTGCAGTGAAATAAAATACTACCTTTTTTGCCTGGTATTTTGCAACTTCTATCATTTCACTAGTTTTGTAAGTTATTTATTTAATTTAGTAAGTATTTATTGAATGCCTACTCTTACCGGGCCACTTTGGTATAGACACTAATGAGTAGCGTGGACTCTTCCTTCAGCAGTGCTCATGAGATAAATGCATTAAACGAGGACAAAAAGGAGAAAGGAATAATGATGTAAGAATACAGATAACCATCGTTTTTATAAATCTGCATATTTCACCTTTTTTTTCCCCATAAAGCAATTCATTTGAAAAATCCAACGTATGAAGGCCAACCAGTTTCAGATGGTGAACACCATCATGGGAAGTCTGTGATCACTTTCTCTGTCTTAATTCCATTTATTTGAAAGCATCTCAGAAATTTGCATATAGAGTCTCCGCTAGAGAGGACTCCTGAATATATATCTAAAAGAAAGAAAAAGAAAGAGAGGGAAAGAGAGAGGGAAGGACACGGGGGTGGGGGGGTTGGGGGAGAAACCAACAATTCACATGTTAATCATTTTAGAAAAATGCAAGATTAATAAGGTGGTATATTTATATATTATGCCACAAAAATATTAATATATTTCATTAAATAGGACTGCCTCAGATCTCAGTGAAGTTGTTACCTAATACAATATAGGGTATAAATGTTTTGCCTTAAGGGATATAGATAAGGGTTTATAGACCTGATATACCAGGAATTCTCCAGAAGGCTGTAGGTCTGTGGAAATGAAATATACAACTCCCTACTCTCAAAACACTTGCCAGCCATGCTGTGGCTGGTGTGGGGTGGGGAGACATTGTGAACAGACTTGAAAAGTTGGGATGCGAGGCAACAGAGTAGAAAAAACATTGGCTTTTTCTTATGTTTCTGTGTATAAGTCATTTAGCATCTCTGAGATTTGCTCTTTTTTTTTAAATAGAAATATAAGATATATATGATATATTTAAATATCAAGGTTATACATATGGTCATGATGTTTTGAGGATCAGAACACTATATACATAGTGCAGAGTGCAATTGAAAAAATCATTTTTATTTTTAACTAACATAATATGTATATTCATATATTACTATAAGTTGTAAAAATAAAGAAATGGAATAAAAGGACAGGATAAACCAGTTTCATTTCTTTTTACAACTGCCTCCAGTTCTGGGTCAGCTTTTCCTCTAATGAGGGAGACTTGAACTACTTCTAGTAGGTGGCTGCTAAAACTCAGATATCTGTCTCTGTTCACTGATTACAGATAAGATTATATTTGTTAGTTTCTTTTTAAAGATTTTATTTATTTATTTGAGAGAGAAAGAACAAGCAGGGAAGAGTGACAGGGAGAGAGAGAAGACTCCCTGCTAAGCAGGGAGTCTGACTTGAGGCTCCATCCCAGGACCCTGAGATCATGACCTGAGCCAAAGGCAGACACTTAACTGACTGAGCCACTCAGGTGCCCTAATTATAATTATTAGTTAAGACAAAAAAATCTTTTATGTGCAAAGTAGCCTTGCTGTTTGGTTAAATTTAGATGGAATCACAGTAGGTTGGCACTATTTTAAACCATCTTATTTGAAGTTAACACCTTTTGCCTTAAAAATTGTTCATTAATTAAAACATAAAAGTGAGTATATTGGTCCAAGACGAGTTACATTTTTATAGCTGAACGTCAGACCTGACCTGGAGCTCCAGGCGTGGGGAACTGAGCAGCTCCCATCAGACTTCGATTAGAAAGTCAAGATATCATCATCAATACGAGGAACAGAGACTTGTATTTCTCTGAAATACATGGCGTTTTTATTTGTAATTACGACTTTTTTATGAGATCAGTATTTATTCCATTTACACCCATTGCAGACTTGGAAAACTCTACAGCTCTTATGAAATGCCCAAATGCACATGACTCTACATCACATAAAGAACGAATTCTTTCTGAAGGTGAACATAGCCGTTCTCACTAATAAACACTCAATCTGTCTACTTTGGCAACTACTGAAAACAGTGTTTGTGTTTAACTCAAAATTACAACTTGCATGACAGGATATAGATCAAAAGATGTGATAAACAATGTAAATGTTCAAATCTGAATATGAGAAAAACTGAACAAGCAGGTATATTTAAAATGTACTAAAATGTTCTAAAAGCAATAGACAATCTTAATAAAAGTAAAGGACATACCCAGAATTTTCTACCAAGATAGAACACGGTCAGTGCTCACTTCCTAGAGCTGCTAGGCCTGGTCGCAAATCCAGGTTTGCCTCCTACTAGCTGGGTGAGTTGGCCAGATTACCTTCTTACCTCACTGTGACTCAGTTTCCTAGTCTCAGAATGGAGATAACAGTATCTGCCTCATGGAGTGTGATAATTCCCTGAGTTAATACCTATAAAAGACTTAAACCACCACCTGGCACATAGCAGGTGCTCAATAAATGTTAGCTATGGATTTTCTTCTACTACCTAGTAAAAAGATTCTACTGAAAAGTACAGCAAAATAATAGAATCCTGCTGATCTGTTAAACATGGTCTTCTAGGAGGACCTCATTGAACTATACACAAATGCAAAATAAATTCCTAAGACAACATTTTGAT